TTGGAAACCCAAGGAGGGGTCACTATGAGTCGGGGCCGACTCGACAGCACATAACAACAACAACAACAACATGCTGAACAAATAATCCGAGAAATTGGACTACTGAAGAAAGAATGTGACATCAGGATTGGAGGAAGAATCATTAACAACCTCCATTATGCAGACAACCCAACTTTGCTTGCTGAAAGTGAGGATGACTTGAAACACTGATGAGGATTGAAGACTGCACTCTGCAGTATGGATTACACCTCACTATAAAGGAAACAAAAATTTTCACAGTGGGACCAATGGGAAGCATCATGTTAAATGGAGAAAAGGTTGAAGTTGTCAAAGACTTCATATTATTTGGTTCTACAATCAACACCAATGGAAGCAGCAGTCAAGGTATCAGATGTTGTATAACATTGGGCAAATCTGCTGCAAAGGATCTCTTTCAGGGGCTGAGGAGCAAGGATATCTCACTGAAGACTAAGGTGCGCTTGACACAAGCCAAGGTAGTGTCAATCTCCTCATATGCATGTGAGAGCTGGAAAATGAAAAAGGAAGACTGAAGAAGAGTCAATGCTTTTGAGTTGTAGTGTTGGTGAAGAATGCTGAAAGCACCATGGACTCCTCAAAGAAGTAACAAACCTGTCCTGGACGAAGTGCAGCCAGAATGCTCCTTCGAAGTGAAAATGGCCAGACTTCATCTCACTTATTTTGGTCATGTTGTAAAAAGCGACCATTTCCTGGAGAAGGATATCATGCTCCGCAAAGTGGACAGACAACGATAAAGAGGAAGACCTTCAACAAGTTGGATTGACACAGTGGCTGCAATGATGGGCTTGGATATAGCAAAGATTGTGGGGCTGGCACAGGACCCGGCAGTGTTTCATTCTGCTGTACATGAGGTCGCTGTGAGTCAGAGATGACTCGATAGCACCTAACAACAACAACAACTACTCCACCAGACTGTAACTAGGTTCATAATTTCAATCAGCCAGATGAAGTATTCAGCCAAAGATTTGACTATACATACTAGAACATATTTAGATCTATCAAAATATTTGGGAAATTGAGTGATTTTTAAATGCCTCATTAAAAATATATGGCTTTTTTGAACCATTAAGTATAAATTAATTTACTTTGCAAATTTACACCCAAATCACAATAATTTTTTTTAAAAAAAGTCATGTTTGCATTGTACTGTAGTCTATTAAGTGTACAATAGCATTATGGAAAAAAACATATATAACTTAAGCTTCCATACCTCCTAATATAAAGTGAAAATTCCAGAGCCACGTGAGAGAAGATAAATGAATCATTTGCCTTTTGCCTTAACTGAATGAATAATTTATTTTATTTTTACCTTTTAGAAAAGATTGAAATTCCCTGTCTTTATCTTTATTGATTTTCCATTCCAGGGAGGAGTATGTGTTCCTTACATCATTCACAGTCAGAGAAATATTTTCCATCTTCTTCTGCAAGAGAGTCAATTTCATTTCCTGGTGATTTATTTGCTCAGTCATTTTTTGCATCAGTGCTGCATGAAGAAAAACAGAAAAGTTGAGCAATTATAAAAATAAATTTTGAAAGTATTACAATTTTATGATAGTTTTCAAAGGTAATTCAAATAAACCTGCTTGCACTAATATATTTGAAAAATATAGACTACATTCACTAGTAAATGGAACTTCGATGTTAGAGTATTTATGGATAGAAAATTGTAGATTATATAAAAATAATGTATTATTATTATATTGTTATTATGATATAGTATTATAGTATCTTGGGAGGTGTGGTGGTTTAGTGCCTAAGACATTTGACTGCTAACCAGAAGGCTGGTGGTTCAAACTCACCTACCATTTCTTAGAAGGAAGGTTGGGCAGTCTACCTCTGTAGAGACACCACGGAAACCCACGGAGGGGTCACTGTGAGTCAGAAACAACTTGAAGGCAGTGAGTTTTTTTTTTTTTTTTTTTAACAATATCTTATATTATTTTAAGGAGCTATTAGGAGCTCTGGTAGCGTAGTGCCTAAGGCACTTGGCTGCTAACCAGAAAGCTGGCGGTTCAAGCTCACCAGCCACTCCGCGGAAGGAAGATTGGGCAATCTACTTCCTAGTGATACTGCCTTGGAAACCAAAGGAGGGGTCACTATGAGTCGCATGCGACTCAAGGGCACATAACAACAACAACAACGTGGTAGCATAGCAGTTGAAGTATTTGTCTGCTAACCAAAAAAAAGGTGGTAGTTCAAATTCACCAGCTGCTTGCTCTGTAGGAGAAAGATGAGGCACTTTTCCTCTGTAAAGATTTACACTAGTGGAAACCCTATGGGGGCAATTCTAGTCTATCCAGTAGGGTTGCTGTGAGGTAGAATCAACTTCACGGCAACCGGTTTAATTTTCATTTATTTATTTTTCAGTATTATTTTAGATGCTGTTGTTGTTGTTATGTGCCG